AGGTTAACTTTTGATGGTAAAAACACCTTCGACCAACACACCCAAGCGCACCCCAGCTACTAACAGGTTTCTTTCATACCTTATCATTCTAACACCATCGCTCAGGGATGTAGAATGGTTCAGTGTCCTTTTATATAATAATGGAGCGCAGCTTTTAGGACGTGCTTTTCTTCCTGTGATGTTCACAATGTAAAAGTCTTGGAATGGTTTTTTTTTTTTTTTTTAAGTTAGGCTTATATAAAATAATGACTTTGTATTTTAAGGATCTTGCCCCTTTTTGCTTGTTTTGTATGTCTTTTTGGAGAATACACACTTCTCAACATTATATATCTAGCATTTTACTGACGTACCGTTAAGCCGTATTTAAAGTGCATACATACATACACACGTGTGTGCATGCGTGCATACATACAGTCGTGCTAATCTTCTTTCCTAGAGTACATGTGACATAGATATGAAAATAAAACTTCTTTTGCTACGGCAATGCCAACATTTTTTTCTTAGAAATACATGTAATTTAAAATGGGTTTTCTATCGGCTGTATAAAGAAATAGTGTATTATCTGTTATCATATCCTCTGGCCGAACAACATTATTAAACCGTTAGCGTCATGCATTATTGGTATAGAGACATACAGCGACATTAATGAACAACTGTTCATTACTTTCCTCCTTGCATTTACTCCCTGATGAATAGATAACAACATAAAGAACATGTTTATCTCGAGCAAACAAGTTCGCATGGATGTATATCAAAGGCTGCATAATCCACCAACACGAGGACGGGCAAATCTGTAAGAATTTTTCACCATCTCTCTCTCTCTCTCTCTCTCTCTCTCTCTCTCTCTCTCTCTCTCTCTCTCTCTCTCTCTCTCTCTCTCTCTCTCTCTCTCTCTCTCTCTCTCTCTCTCTCTGCTAGACTGCTTCGGTGATCTAAGTGGTTAGAGCTTTCGCTCGGATATGGGATGTCAAAGGTTCAAAACACAGTAAAGTAATACAAAACATTTATAAAAATGGTACAAGCAGCTGCCTCGCTTGGCGCTCAACATTAAGAGGTTAGTGTTAAGACTGGTGTCAGGATAATGTGACTGGTAGGACATCATACTACATGTCCGCGACACTATGCCCTAGTGCTAGACATTACTATAAACTGACACACTGCAGACATCGTAGCGATATGAATGAAATTTTTGTATAGCTACGTTAAAAATTCAACTTTTGCACACATATACAAACACACACACAAGCATACTACTTACTAAACGCTTATTTGTATATGTGTTTGCAAGGAATTTGCACAAGGCAACGTTGCTTTTTGCTTTCAGTTATATAGTGAAACTTACCTTAGAATGTTTAATTAGGGTACGAATAAATTTCTGATTAAATTGTAAATTAAAAATAGGCAGCCAGCTTTTTAGAGCATATAAACTTTCTCTAAAAAGAACGTATAAATTTGAAGGACACAGTATAACAAAAATTATGATATGAACTTTGAGATCAAGCAATAATACAAGTGAAATTCAGATGAGATGTATAAACATAATAAAATCGCATACCAAATACGATGGCACATAGAAAATTAGACACCTATACAGATACGACAGACAAATGCACAGACAGAAAGACAGACACACACACAAACACACACACACAGATATATATATATATATATATATATATATATATATATATATATATATATATATATAACTGTTTTCACATAATTATGGTGACTACTGATCACAATTATAGAGAGGCAAAGAGAGAGAGAGAGAGAGAGAGAGAGAGAGAGAGAGAGAGAGAGACTGGAAACAATCAGGTTATATAGGCATGTATCGAAATTCGTTTGATCTGCATAACAGAACGACTAGTTGCATTTCGCGTACATTTGGTAATATTATTTCTATGATAAAGTGAATGATTCAAAGTTAGGTTCAATTTCATTTTGTTGATATAATCGATTAAATTGTTATATTTTGCATGCGAGGGGTCGTGTTGTTCTTTTTTATACTTCTGCTCAGATCTCTGTTATTTCCACCTATTATTTTATTTTATTTTATCATCCTTGTAAAAACATAGCGGTCAATTATGTCCTAGAAAACAATAACCAAACAAAAGACACATAAATCAAGTGAGGGACTTCCCCTAACAGTTAACAATTTTGTGTCAGTCACAACAATTAAGGTCGTTGATATACTTCTGTTTTGCAAGGTCATATTGTTTCTCTCCGATCGGTATTTTTGTGGTTGATTTTAGACACATTTTGTTTTCTGTTTGTTGCATATACTTACTAACTTGAATGTTAGTACTTATGTTCGAGTCGTTAGTCACTTATATTCTTCAATGTGTTTTTCTTTTCGGGGTAGTTTCTGGAAAGAAATTACAATTCATTCTTATCATCCACCTATCTCTATGATGTAAGTTTTATCCAAATTGATGAGTACTGTGTCCAGTTTGTTACTGTGTCATGTGTGAAAACTCTTAGAAGCTTTGTTTAAAGGAATTGTATCAAAGTCAACTTAATTAAAGTAGAAAGGGCTAGAGATAGTTAGATGATTATTTTTCATTTCATCTCTGAACGTCAAAAGGGAATTCGTTCTAGCCGACGTAACATGACCGAGTCAGATGCTATGGTACAAGAGAATGACATAAGACCTTTCCCCAAAATCGGCAAGGTTAAAGGCAGCAGCTGGCTATAAATGATAGTTCAAAGTAATGATTAATTACGGCATGATTAGGTGTTTAGTTTTCTGGTCAATCCCAAAATTCTACGAACAGGTTTAGGAAACAGTCTATTCCGATTGGTTAATATGGATTTATGGGCGTAACTCTGTAAGAAATTAAAGTTTTTACTTTAGGAAAATTCAGCAATCTTTAATCTTTCGCAAGGGAAGTTAAATGATTCCGGGATCGTGTGAGACGTTATCTCGTGATTTGGCAGTGAAGCGAGAGTTTTGTCTCAGCAAGTAGGCAAACTCTACATTTTGAATTCGTAAAAAGTACGTCTTCATTATTGAGTAAGGGGCCAGATAGTTGTCTCAGTTAGGAGACAGACTATACGTGAGATTCGTGGAAACGAATAAAAGAAATGGTAAAAGGTACGCAATCTTAATTTCCAGATTTTAATATGTTATTTCATTTGTTGATCTATTTCAAATGTATTCTTGATATGATGTATGTATGTATGATTTCATTTTGCAGGATTTTAGTGAAATGCTAGTCATGACATTTTATTCTTTGATTTTTTAATTATCAATTCATTTGGAGAATTGGCAAGATTGAATGTAATTAAAATTTCATTAGATTAGTTGAAAAGATTGCATGTTTAGAATGAGTATGACCTAACATTACATGTATACCATATACTAGTTTGTAATATTTAATTGATCACTTAAGTGTATATCTATATGCTAGTTTGTAATATTTAATTGGTCGAGTAAACTATTTAGAATAGTTAGATCTGGAGGTCTAAGCCATATGTAACTTAACAGAGTAAGAAGTCAAGGTGGGTCACATACGGGTTCATACGGCTGAGTTGAATTTAATTGACCATCCCTAGCGTGACCCAAACTAAGGTCAGGACAAGCATTGACCATGTAAACAGAGAGTTAGGTAACGTTCATGCGGCAGAATTTATGCCTTTTGTTTTCTGAGCCGAATTAAAGTAAAAATATAGATATACTTGGGAATGTGACCTATTGTCTATTGCGAGACATTTTTATTTATTGAAGGAAACAGCTTTCCTGGATTCACATGAGAAATCCTTGAACAATCACAGGACGAGAACAAATTCTACGCAGAAATCTAAGTCCAGAGACGATTGTTAAGTCAGAGTTCGACGGACAAGAGTCCAAGACGAAAAAGCTAGACAAAGATCGACAGAGCAGGGACGAACGGAAGTCTTGGTGTCTGCATAAATTAGGTGATGAAGTCTCTCATCGTTACACTCAAAGGTCACATCTCATTGGCAACGAGGATAGCAATTTAACGTTAAAAGTAATTTTACATTTAAAGAAATTTGTATTGTCTTTTTTATTTCAGTACATGTTAGTACCATTTTTCCTTCTTTTGTATCTAAGTCATTGATTTCTTTTCATTTTAAATTCTGTTGATAAACTGATTAAATTTTATATTTTTTCATTGAAAGGGGGCTCGTCGTGTTCATTTCTTCAATATACTTGTTCAGTGATCTGCATTCTTCTTTCTATCTATCCACACTGGGTAAATCACACCGCGGTGGTCATTCCCTAGCAACGAACCGTAGTGAAAGAGGATGGTGTGTTTTTTTGCACGCCGCCAATTTGTCACCCACTGATTTCTGAAATGTAGCGCGGAATAAGAGGATCCGTGCGGAGACTTTGAGATATCGGTCTTGGTTGCAAAGGTTGTTGATTTGGTAGATAACGTGGATAAATTGGATTTGGTTATTTGCGGTCATACTGAATTATAATATTTATTACATGCAAGCATGAGTTGGATTGTTGTGATTTGGATTTTTCTCTTTGCTTTCAATTTTTTTTTCAGTCATATCGCTACGATGTCTGCAGTATGGCAGTTTATGGTAATGTCTATCAATTGGGCATCGTGCCGCAGACATGTAGCATGATGTCCCACCAAGTTACATTATCCTGACACCATGATGTCCCACCAAGTTACATTATCCTGACACCAGGCCGGCCAGTCCTAACACTTATCACACACACACACACACACACACACACACACACACACACACACACACTGTGCTTTTGTATGTCAAATCTGAGCCTGTGCCGGATTTAGAACAAATGAAGCCCTGTATGTGCTAGTTAAGTTATAAGGTCCCTTAAGGAGGTATTGCAAAGAAGATGCCCCCTCCCCCAGGCCAACAGAGCACAATGGTAAATCCGGTACTGATTAAAAGATGCCTTAGTTTATCATCACTCATCGACAACACTACTTTTCATATTCATATTTGGCATGGTTGCTTAACCAGTAACACAGGATCCGATAACAAAAACCGTTCCGGTGGCTAAGTGGTTAGAGCGTCCGCCTCAGATGCCGTAGGTCGTGAGTTCAATACCCGATCGAGTCATACCAGAGACTTACAAAAGTGGTACTAACAGCTGCCTCGCTTGACGCTCAGCATTAAGAGGTTAGTGTTAAGACTGGTCGGCCTGGTGTCAGGATAATGTGACTGGGTGGGACATCATGCTACATGTCTGCGGCATGATGCCCCAGTGCTAAACATCACTATAAACTGCCACACTGCAGACATCGTAGCGATATGACTGAAAAATTGTTAAAGCTACGCTAAAAGTTATAAACACCACCCCCCCATAATAATATATTGGATCAATATCTTCGGATTGAACCTCTAACACATTCACCATTGAAGGGACGCTTTTTTTAGCCTTTATTTTGCACACTCCTAGTACGCATGGGCAACATCAGCTGGAATAACTATTAACATGGGCACAGGGAGACGTCATTGTCTCAATATGCATCATTCAGATGAAGTATTGATGGTATTTATATATCTTATCAAACACATTCAACATATTTAAAATACAACTGCTAAAATTAGTTATGACTAATATTATCGATCATTTCAGGGTGAGCGTTGGAGAATGTTTCAGCTTCATTTTTTTCTGTAGTTATTCAGGACACCAAGTAATAGGATAATGCCATCTTACGATAGCAATTTTAAACATCTTGGGCTGACCCCAGTATTCACATGATCTGTTCGTGGGATAGGCCGGATGCTCTGAATTACATCTGTAACAGGCATCAATATTTAACTTTGGATCTTCTATTTGAAACATTACAGTTTTTCTTTTAATAAGTTTGCTTGCAGCCGAACACTCGTTAGGACCGGCAGGACATTGGCCATTGTTAATACGGAATTAGGAAGTATACCAGTTGATATTAACATCTTTACGACAGAAAAGAGAGAGAGATGCGAGCAGACAGACATACAGAGAACAAGCAATGATAAAAACTGTCTAAGCTAATAATTAGCTAGTCAGATAACTATCCAGTTACCAAATTAAGGGACCATCTGGTTCATATTTATAGAATAAAGACACCTGTCCGATGATAGATGGATGGTTGGATGGATGGATGGATATCTTTCGATGGTTATTGTTTAGAAATAATTTTCGACAAAGTAAAAAAGTTAAAAGTATTGAGGAAGTGTTTTCAATTCGCCCTGTCCCAAGGCTATTAAAGTCATTTGTACTCTGATGAAACATCTTTGACGCAAGAGTGGTCCTGACAAATATTAACATTGTCAAATGATTGTGAGTGTAAGAGTCTGTAGTTATAGTCTCTAAGCCTTGGCATAAGATCAACGTTAATGGATAGTATGGCTTTGCTTTTAAACCCGCTTCGTTTATTACATTTTGTCTTAGACACAGCGTGTACATCATTTGTCTCATTCTCACTGGTGCGTTTCTTAAATGATCTGTGATGAACCAGTATCGGTATATGTAAGGGTGTGGTCTCATTCTCACTGGTGCGTTTCTTAAATGATCTGTGCTGAACCAGTATCGGTATACTTAAGGGTGTGTTATTATTGTTACCAAGATGCGTCGCTCATGCGTTTTTCTTTGTCCGAAATAAAAGCCAGCTATAAGCTGATTTAAATCCTATCTTCACGTCTTACGTAAAAATCAATCTGATTAAAATCAGACCTCCGCTGTCCTACGTGTAGATCTAACGGCGACCGCTTAATGGTCACGTTCTGGTGACCTTTCAATTAACCAGTCGAAATGCAGCTTTAATAAATCTGAAAGTGAATCAGATAGTTCGGCGCAGTCATGCTCTTCATCCACAGTGCTGCCTCCAAACGTTAAGATATTAGACTTCATCTGATTGGTTAACAAAATTAGTATTTATGGTAATAAAGATTACCAGAACATGACCCCTTAATCGATCATCATCAGATCTTCATGTAGGGACAAAATTCTGGTGACCTTTGAATTACCCAAATTAAAACGGGTAAATTAAGTATATAGTTTGTTCTGCAGTTTGGCAAACAGATGTATAAAACAAATCAATAAATGAATCTTGTTTTTTATATTGTTTCAGGGACCAAAAATGAGCGCAAATATGGTCGTTCTACATCATGCTTAAAAAATAATATTTACATTGTAAAATAACAGTGTATCTTGGCCAAGAATGGTGACAAAGAAATATATTAGGATTGATGTCAATGGTAAAGGGCTAAGTCTCCGAGTTTTAGTAATGTTTGAAAATACATGCCTAACAGAAATATATATATATATATATATATATATATATATATATATATATATATATATATATATATATATATATATATATATATATATATATATATATATATATAATTGTTGAGTTCACAGATCATGCCCTAGCGGTGTCTAATAAATTAGGTCATTAAATGGATCGCTATTACATTATATACCTAATTGCAAGTAGTGTGAAACCCAAGCATGCGTCCATTGTTTTGTCAGTCGAACACACGTTTTTGATGTACGATTTGCTAGCTTTTATGTGCATTCTCATGGTAAATTTGGCACATAACCAAGTCAGAAATAAAATCCCATAAATAAGAATCAAGAAAAACGTCAATGTAGTGCAGCTTTAGTGTGTCTGTTTATGCATAAACGAAACACACAGTTTACGTGCCATACACGTAATTAAAAGACCACTCCGGTGGTTAGAACATCAACCTCAGATGCGGGAGGTCGCGGGTTCGAACCCCAGCCGAGTCATACCAAAGACTTATAAAAATGAACGAACAGCTGCCTCTTTTGGCGCTCAGCATTAAGAGGCCAGTGTTAGGACTGGTCGGCCTAGTGTCAGGAGAATGTGACTGGGTGTGACATCATGCGGCAAGAAACACAATCTTGCAAAACAAGTTAGTATATTAGATTTATGCATCGCATTAAATGTATGCACACTCAGGGAGACTCTAATAAAAATGGGAGCAAATCCAAGCTGCATAGATCCCGATTTGCCGTTTCATTATACACCTGAAGATCGGGATGCGGGGAACGAGTCGGGGTCTATGCAGTTTGTGAGGAGCAATCAGGAGATTAAACATCATAGACCCTAACGCATTATGAAACAGCAGATTTGGGACTATGTTGTTAGCAGTTGAACTAGACTTATAAAATGTAGTATACGGTAATGAACTTTATACTGTATATGAGCTGGATTTTAACTTAGCTTTACAAAAATTTCAGTCAGATCGCTCCGATGTCTGCCGTGTGACTTTATAGTGATGTCTGGCGCTGGGGCATCAGGCCGCAGACATGCAGCATGATGTCTCATCCAGTCACATTATCCTGATACCAGGCCAACCAGTCCTAGCACTAATATCTTAATGCTGAGTGCGAAGCGAGGCATCTGAAAGTACTATATTTATAAGTCTTTGATATGACTCAGACGGAGTTCGAACCCACGACCACCCGCATCAGAGGCGTACGCTCTAACCACTATGCCATCAGAGCAGTCAAAACTTTCATCCTAATGTATATAATTGTGTTGTGTGTGGCTTGGTGTACGTAAAAGATGGCAAATTTGAGAAAAAACTACAAGATAAGATATTTATATAAAATATCGAATTTATTTTTATTTAACTAAGTTCAGAATTGCATGGCAATTATTTATTGGTCAGAAAAATGCTGTTAACTGGATCCTATCGAGATCCATACATACCTCATCTGGAAGCTGGGTACCAGAATCTGATGTAACACTGACGACCAGTCTGAATCATTTTCAAAACTTAAATGAGGATCCCCATCCACTGATCGTTCATAAATGTCAGCATCAAAACTAGATCCAGCTTACAAAAATGGCGCTATGGTATCAAATTAAACGTCTCCATGAAATTTGGTCTCTGTGAAATAGTTTCAGCAGTGAACTGGGAGAACTGGATCAAATGTATTCGTGGTTTTTTATTATTTCATCTAATCCGATTAAACATACAACTTACTGAATAAGTCTTCACAAAATACCTTTATATTAAAAAGGGAATGACTGACTCTTTTTTGATTTGCGCCAGCTAGGGGTGAAATTAGCGGGCATCTGATCGGCGGGCTGGCAGCAATTTCGGAAGCCTGCGTGAAACCACACTATAAGGTCATTCTATTGTACAAATATACAACACTAGCGTAGAAGCCAGAAATACAATTAATATAACTAAGATGCGTTTAATGCAACATTTTAATCTGAAACAATCTTGATTATATTTTTTCCAACTCACGTCCATCCATTTGAATACATACACGTATACAAACAAAACAAACATTTTATTGGTCACGTGGAAATGTATTATATAGATATAATATTATTAGATATATCATTAGATTAACGGAGCAACTTCGATTACCAGCACAAAGATGTCATGGATGTAATTTCAATAAATGACTTTCAATAATATACGAATATTTTAAATATGTATATAAAATTATAAATTCTTTTGTATCATAAGATTTGTCTTGTGTGGGCATATCAATCTTGCACTGATTAGACAAGCCCGAGATCAATATATCGTCCTTCATTGTTTGATTGTGAAGGAGTATTATTTCGCCACACATCAGCTGTTAATAATACCCCATCCCACCTTCAAAAGATGGTGGAGGTAGTGGAGTATGTCTGAATCAGCTTCACTGTCTGTCCGTGACACTTTTCTTTACTTAATACCTCCTGAACCCTTTACAAATTGTAATATAAATTGGTAAGCTTTCTTAGCACGACTAGATATTCAATTCTGAAGAAAGAGGGTATTTCTGATGATAACTTTAAATGTTATCCCCATTTGTATTATAAAGTATGTCAATCGGTCCGTCTCGTCATTTTCCTGTCAAAAAAGACTTGAGAGCTTTATGAGAGATCTTCATGAAAATTAGTACGCCATAGTATTCTATTAAGAGTTTGTAGATCATAACAAATTTGGCTCTGTCATTTTAGTATTTTTTTTATTTCTGTTGCGAAATGTTGATATTGCATTTACTTTTCATATCATGCGATAAATATTCTGTAAGCACTTGCATACTGACAATCTAACTGTATGCACATTTCAGTAACCATTGCTATGTCAACACAATTACTTTAAGGTGGAACGGCCACTTGTTGCTTCCCTGTTGGAGATGTGGGGCTCATTTGCTGTTTGTTACCAGGCGATTTGAACATTTTATTCAAAACATTTCTAACTTGATGAGCTGAACTTCTTCGTCTGGGTTTTGCTTCCACTTGCTTCCTCCGTTTTATCTCTCTATGAAGTTCATGGAAAAATTCAGATATTTCCTCGCCCCCCTCCGAAGCGGAGGTCTCATAGAATGCGCATGACATGTCTGTGGCTACGTTTTGTCCTTCCATATAACTGACCTTTCTTTCGTGACAGAGGTCAGTTTTGTTGCCTACAAGCACACACATTGAATTTGTCTTTTTAATGTCGTCCAGGTTTTGTTTGATATTAGATATTTCTTCAAAACTCTGTCTATCACTTATTGCATAAACCAAAACGAATCCATCAGCCCATCTCACATGGCCTTCTCTCTGAATTGTCCACTCCTGAAAGAAGAAATATAATCGATTGCATAACAGTTTAGCTAATATCAAAAATTTTGTTTGTATGCCTTGCCCTGTAATCAGAGGAATGTTAATAATTTTAAGGACACTCCATTTATTTTCGTTACGTGTTTATGTTTTTATTGATGTATGTAAATATATAAAACAAATATGTAAAACAGCCGAATTTGCACGAGTGCAAGCGGTTCGTTTGTTCATTGGGTTTCAGTCGTTTATCGAATATTGGCATGAACGACACGTTAGTTTTCACACGTTTGCGCGCTATTTAATGAATGCTTTTAACATAATATTCCCACGCCAAAGCAAGAGGCTTCAGAAAGTAAAGGCGCCCTCAAATGCCCTGTCTGTCTTCCCTCCACCATGGCTGTGACCTCTCACTTAAGCGTCATAATTACAATTCATTTAAAATTTAAGATCATTTTCCTATTTTTGTGCGGGCTGGTTCCTAACCTACCGCCAAATATGTCAGAGTTACATCCGACTCGAAATTTCAGAAGTTGTGAATTTGCCTACCCTGGAATAGTTTTTCGCGTACTATGCGTACTTGTAATTTTTTCCGAATGTTTTGTCGAATCGTTACAGCTTACAACAGCCGTTGATAATTTGCAATCGCAATTCGGGTGTCTCGATGCCGTAAGACGGCAATGAACTATGAGAATATGTTATGCACGACGTTTGTCAAATGTTTTGATAAATATGGTGTTAAGGATATATTATTGTGAGCTTATCTTTAGTCCATGATTGCTAGTTGTACTTTAGAATATGTAAACTGAACGTTAACATTGCTAACATTTTTACGCTGTAAATAGAACGTTTGCATATCATTTGAGTTCGGAGCATTCTCGAACCAACGTCCTTTACAATTATATTGGAATTTTCTGTTGGAATGATTCACGTTAATGACACGTAAAAAATGTCTATAAACAGGGATTTTATAAACAATTGATTCGTTCCTGTTTTAAGTCAATCTGTGGGAATCCATCTTTTGATTAGTTTATAGCTGTGATCAGATATAATTCTCAAGGAAATTATTTACTTAAATGATTCACTGCAATTACTAAAGTGCTTGTTCCATTTTTGGATTTATATACACGATCTGAATTAGTGTCAACTGATTCAAAGACATTCATCATTGTGTTAGAATAGAATATTCAAGACCATGGGAATTCATACTTTTTACTGAACATATAGGATCATATTGGAATTTAATTCACAATACTGCGACTCATGAACTTTCACTTTGTATTGGAAAATTAGTTTGTTGATTTTACTTAAAATTGTTGGTTTCGTTTTCTTTCCGTTACATAAATCAAGAGCTAGAGTCGTAACAATGGCATTAGCCAAAAAGATGGATAGAGTGAAATGTCCCTGGAAGACCAAATAATAATGTGATGTGTGAGGGTACTGCCTGGCAAGCTTGTACAGTCTGTTGTGTATTGTCCGAGATACTCGCACAGTCTACTGTGTATTGTCCGGGATACTCGTACAGCCTCGTACAGTCTATTTTGTATTGTCCGGTATACTCGCACATTATATTGTTAAATATTTCTTCATAGATCGCAAATGTAAAAACAAATAAAGGCATCATTTGATCTAATAATATAAAAGAGAACTGCAATAGGTTTGTTGGTAGATCGTCACATTCGTAATCCAAGGGTCACGGGTTGGATACCTGACGGGCTTGTAGCGCTCGGCTGCCTCTGTGTGACTTTGGTAAGGTAATTAACTCTCATTTCTTCGGCAGGATATAGCCAACAATGTTGGCTTTTGTTTGTGTTGCTGCTTGTATCGGTACTTATAACACATTATTGGCTCTATATCAAACCTAATAAATAAGCGCGAAGTGTCTTTCCCAAGCAAACACCGAGACAGCCGAGGTTGTCCAATGATATGTTGACTGTGCTGTTAAAAATCAACAATCAATCAAACACAAAAAATAACTGTTCAAAACGTTTTAAATGTTGACGGTGTCCTCAATTATGCCTCCTCCACTGTATGTATTTAGGGTTTTATATTCTTTGCTAATCACAAGTTTGAAATGGAAAAATTTGAAATCTGTATTTTAAAGCCTTAAATATCTTCAATATATTACATTTAAAATGGTGAATAATTCCTTGGTGATGAAATTCGTTTAAACTGAATAAAATGTGTGCAAGTGGAATGTTTGACTTGTCATTACAACTGATTTTAAATTTTATGCTTCCGTTTATAATAGTGTACTAATATAATAGTATAATAGAATACTATAATAGTATCTGCTTTTCCGATAGGCACAGCATGCAAGTTACGATAAGTGTCTATGGTTCAAGGCCAAATTTATCCAACATTTTCAATAGGATATTCACAGTCCGGAGTATATAGATACCAAATAAAATAAATGACCGTTATAACGCAATCATCTTGCAATGCCATATGCTATATGTTCAACGTCCAAGTACCTGAATAAATTTTTAAAGAGGCAAATATATGCATCCTCCAGTGTATCAACCGGCGCCATCTTTCTGATCCAAAACCAAATTTGACACGGCGCAGCCTCTAAATAATACTCCAAAATTCAGACTGAAATATGGAATAACGGGTATGGATATAAGATTTACAAATAATTAAGCACAGACAATCATGCACTGATAAAGCTATGCTCGGTGATAAAAATTGTTTACCTGACCCGCGGTGTCCAGGATTTCCATGTTAACAGATTCCTCATCAATCGTTGTATGATGTTTATATGTACACTCTGAAATAAGGGTAAGTGTGAACTATTATTCAAATGTACCTTTCAACCAACTTATATAAAACTACATACATACATCAGTGTTTGACCTACAAATGGCTTCATGCCAGTCAGTTCACTAATCAAGGCAATACAACAGGGAGTAAAATTAATAATTATTTTGTTTAAATACACAACAAAAATAGTTATA